GACTTTAATTTAGCTGTCTTTCAACTTTCAAACATTATTTTTTTCTATATATTCTGAAGGCAAAGAGAATTTCAAAATAAAGAAACAATATGCCTGATCTTGTTTGACTAGTAGTAGTTAAAACAATTAGGGGTCCATTCACTAATCTGCCGAAGGATCTAGCCGTAGCTTCGGCTGATCCTTCGGCTAGCTTCGGCCCCAGGACCCCTTCGGTTTAGGAGAACCGAAGGGCTGCTGTACGGGCTATTCACTATAGCCCGTACAGCTCCCGAAGTTGGCCGATCGGCTCAGTCGACAGCCTGCTTCTGACAGCTGGGCCGAGCCAGCCGTCATCTCACAGCTGGCTCCGGCCACTTTCAGAGAGATCAGCGTCTCCGATTACCAGCTAACCAGGGACGCTGTCATTACACACTGAAAGCGGCCTCTCCGTGTTCTCAGTGTGTAAAGACATATGGCGTTTCTGGTTACCTTGTAACCAGGAACGCCATCTGTCATTCCTCCCCCGGATGCTCCGGGAGTCTAAAAGGCTCGCGGCCGCCTGGGAGAGAAACACTTTCTCCTAGAAAGGTTCACTCTGCTCAATCGAGCGGAGTAAACCTTTCCCTGCTCGTTTTTTTTTTCTTCTGACATCGGAGCCGTTGGCTGCCGTCAGAAGAAAAAAAAAAGAGAAATCACCAAACCAATGCATAGCTAGCTTCCTATTGGCTATTTCAATTTGCAATAGCAAACTAGCTATTGCACCTGCCCACTGCTGCTGTCAATCAGCAGAGGGGAACCTGCAGTTCTCTATCAGGTCCCCCTCTGGCAATGTTCCTGACATAATGCACCCCTTCATGGAAACTGTATTCCATGTAGGCAGTGACCTCTTTAAAAATGATAATGCACCCTGCCACACTGCAAAAATGGTTCAAGAATATAGTTTGAGGAACACAAAAATGAGTTTGATGTGTTGATTTGGCCTCTAAATTTTCCAGATCTCAGTTCAATCGAGCATCTGTGGAATGTCCTGGAAAAACCATTCCGATCCACGTTGGCCCCACCTCACAACTTAAAGGATCTGCTTCTGATGGCCAGATACCATAGCGTAACTTCAGAGGTCTAGTGGAGTCTGCGCCTCGATGAGTCAGGGCTGTTTTTGCAGCAAAAGTACCTACTCAATATTAGATGGTCATATTGTAATGGTTGATCAGTTTATACGGCTCAAGTTTGGCCATAACTGCCTGTGATTACCTGTGCTATTCTTCAGATCAATAGATCTGAAGAATCAAGTGCCTATTCTGGTGCTGTGTTCCTCCACTTGTCATTCAGTTGTTGATTGCCAGAGCCCTGTTGGACATTAGAGAATATGACATATAAGAGTCAAATGACAACAGGTGACACTTAATCTCAGGATAGGTTGGACTTTCTGTAAGGCTGTGAGCATCGAGGCAGCAAAAAATGCCCTAACGTTAGTAGCACTGTTACAATAGACACTTGTTTATACCAGGTCATGTTCTTTTAAACAGTAATGTTACTTACCTGCAAATTCTGTGTGGCAGAGCAGTGATTTACGTGGTCCACAAAACAGAATTACAAGTATTTGCTGGGTAAAATAATGGGTACTTCTACTGTATGTTTAGATGTTTGCTTGGGGTCCTGCTTCAATGTCTTTACTAATAATCTTATAAAGCCGCTGGTGACAAAAAGTTGGCCTGTATAAAACATGTAATCATTCATGTGCCAAAGCAGCATGATCTCAAAGTAGATTGTTGACTAAAACATGTATGTAGGTGAATGATATTTTCTTATTTATACAAGAGCTTTTGTCTTTTTGTCTTGGTGATTCCTGAGATTATATATATACAATCTTTAGCCCCTGAACTTTGGTTTGTGGTAGGGGTTCTTTTTTTTTTTATAATAAAGCAATACATTTTCAGGCTAATTGAATGTGACACTGGAAACTTATTGTCTCAGTAGGATACTGAAAGGCTGGAACCTTTTCTATATTGAATATTAAAGGACATCAGATAAGTGGAAAAAGTAGAGGTTAAATAAATGGCTTTCAGGGTGGAATACATAGCCTTTGTGCTGGTTTAGAGATTTCATTCCATTATGATGACATATCTACAGTTCTACACTTTCTGAATCAATTTTCATGAATGGTGACTGTATACTAAATGGGAAATTACTATTCAACCATTCAGGTAAATGCTATGTCTTCTGTAGTATATAAAAACAACTGTTCCAGGAAATAATAATTCCGGCGTTTGCATCTAGTATTATGTTGTTTCTATATATTGCTGGTGAGCAGCTCATTGAAACTTTCATAAAGTTACATCTCTTATCGATTGAAATAATTCATAAATGCACATTGCATCCATATTATTAACACTAAATCATATTTTTTTAAAGTTTTTTTTTTCATGGTACCATTTAAAAAATAAACAGAAATTCTCAAAGTAGTGCAGTAAATTTCAAGGGCACTTTTTACAACATAACTTTAGTAGTACCTGTCAGGGGAAACTCTTATGGCTTTCAAGTAGTAAGCTAATATCGGGAAAGAAAAAAGTTAGTGACACCAGTCTTTGGTGCGTACATGCTAAAGTCATGGAATGAACACTATTAATCTTTTATTTTTAAATGTCAGAATTAATTTAAAAAAATTGCAAGAGGGTTTGCCTTATTTTCAGCCATGTTACTCTTGTTGCTAAATAATTTGGTTGCTAAATAGTAATGGTTTTTAAACTCAATTCACTAAAAAAGAAAAATTAATGCAGCAACTACATCTAAGGATTAGTAAGCTGAAATATTTTTTTTTCTCCTTTTGGGTTTAGATACACTTTAAATTTCACATATAATGTGTAAATGCATACACATGTCAAAATGATCAATAGATTCAGAGATGGAGGCCAGTGAAGTTACACACAAATGCCAAGTAGTCCTGTAACAGCTGAGGTTCACCCCACTTCATGCTGCTTTCAAGGGCTTCCATTTGGCATTTTGATGTGAGAGATAGGTTCACTAAACACTAGAAAAGCCTGGATAGTCCTTTTATTATTACATTAGTATAATGTATTATTTATTTAATTTATTATTTTATTATTACATTAGTCATCAAAGTTCCAGTGCCCATAGACAGATCAAGAGTACTATATTTTAGTTAGTCATGTTTTTGTTCTGTATGGAAAAATTCAATTAATACTACAGAGTTTTGTTTACATTTTTTATCTATATTAAAGAGGCTGTACAGATCCCTTTTGGCTCTTATTACTCCCTTCCCCTCAATTTATTCTTGAAGCCCTTTCAGTTTTAATTTCTGTAAATGATGCTATCCCACTTGGGCTGTATGTGACAGCTCCAGGCAATTGCATAACTGCACAGCCAATACCCTAGACTTCTTCCACAGTGCCAATATCCTACACTCCTACCTCATTTTCTTTCTGGACTTCCTCAAGGGGCCACTATTCTTCCACTGAACTAGGAAACTATTTGAATATTGTTATATTTCACTACCCTCACTGTCTTCTGCAGCCTTTGATGTTTCATTGATGCTTTTAGACCTGGAGGCAGCAGTTTTCAGTTTTTCAAACTGTAACTCTGGACGTAGATGGTCTACCAGCAGAGTTCCTAAAACAGTTTGAAAAAGTTTCACTTTTAATGTAGCATTTGATACTGGTCATCTGCCTTCTCTCCACTGACATTAAAATCCTTCCAAACGTTCCAGCAATTAAACTTAACAATGTGATCTCTACTATAATACACACTGATCAGACAGGTTTTATGTCTAATCTCTTAACAGCCACTACTATTAAGCGTACGTCTCTGAACTTCCAGATCTCCATAGATTCACCGGGTAATCAAGCATTGCTATCTCTCGATGCCATAAAGGCATTCTGCCGTTTTGAATGAATGTATGTTTGGGCTGTGCTGGAGAAATTTGGGTTTGGGGCAATCTTCTGTAAGTCCAATTGCTACATTCTAGTCCCACAGCTTCTGTTCAAGTGAATGGTTTCCAATCCTCCTCATTCCCACTGCGCTGTGGGACTAAGTAGGGATATCACCTGCCACCACTCTTTTTTTCCCTGTGGCAATAGAGCCTCTGGCTGTCATTCTTAGACAGCTGGGGGAGGTTGTGGGGTTCCAATGGGGGCAATATGAGGGGAACATAGCGCTTTACACGGACACTATTGTGTTGTTTTTTTCTGATACCACTTCTTCTCTCTCAGCCGCTGTAACATTCATCTGTGAGTTTGGTGTGTATTCCGGTCTACGTATCAATTTGGAGAAGTTTATGTTGCTTCTGCTGGACTCCCTACTGGACTCTTTGACTCCCGTCCCTGTCTTAAGATGTTACCCTTTATCAAATATCTGGGGGTCTCTATCTCAATTCTATGAATACATTCCGAAAAATCTTCAGCCTCTACTCACTAGATTTCATGTAAGCTCTGGTGTAAGCTTCCCTTGACCCTAGTGGGCTGTACCAACCTACTTAAGATGATATGGATGCCTCAGTTACTTTACTTTTATATAGTCTATAACTATGGAGTCTCCCTGAGATTCCCAATAACTATGGAGTTATTGGGAATCTCAGGGTACACTAAGCATACTCCCTTGTGGGCTAGTGAATACCTACTAGAAGTATGTAAGCTGCAGGGTTTTAGATGAAGTAAGGCTGGTGTTCATACAATTTCCCAGTTATGCCAGGGAGATTTCCTTAAATGCTATCAGCAGTATCTTCCAATACCTGGAAGAATCATTTATGGTGAACTCAAAGCTTAACTGCTGATAGCATTCAAGAAAATCTCCCTGACATAACTGTGCTGGGCCCCCCCAGGGTGAGGCCCCAGTGCTGGAGCACTGGCGGTAGTTCCGCCACTGATTGGGACCGATATCGATACTGGTATTAATGCATCCCTGGAATAGTAGTTTGTGTTACTTCTTTTCTTTCTATGCTCTACAAGAAAGCTCAAAAACTCAAATAAAAAGAATCTGATTTAAAAAAAAAAAAGATGTTGTACAGTACAAAATGTAGGAAAACAATAGTGTATACTAGATAGATGGCACAGAAAAGTAATGGATAGTAATTTGGGCCTAATTACCAGGTGATAACAAAAAGTACCAGAAGAACTAGAGCTAAATGTTGATCCCTAATACCAATTAAGAGGAATGATTTAACCATTGAAAGCATCAATCCCATAGAAGATGCACATGAGTTGATCATGGTTCCCACATATTTTGTTGTTACATAAAAAAACATAAAAAAATGACAAGCTAACAAAGGTACATTTTTTCAGTGAAGTTTTTCTGATCATTAAACATTTTGTACTTACAGATAATTTTTCTTCCAAAGATACAATTAAAGCTGTGCTGCTTGTTTTTGCTCTTTTAGGGTTGGCGACCGCCAGAGCACCCTGGAGAAGGAGCTGAAGAATTTCCAGTCCTTGGTCAAAGAGCATGAGAACTTAATGAAGTGGATGCAAGAAGCAGAGACAACAGTAAATGTTCTCATGGATGCATCACAACGTGAAGGTGTTCAGCAAGATGTTAATCGTTTACGCCACCTCAAAGTTCAGCTGCAGGTAAGAATTTGAAAGGCTATATTTATAGGATAGTGCAAGGATATGCATTTATTCATAACAACCAGTACTGTTGTAGTTGTCATCTAGTAATTAGAGTCAGAAAAAGAAAGATTGTTTACGATTGGTTGTTTTTTTTTTTCTGCTTTGGCCATTGATAATAACCATATACTTCCAATTATAACACTTTCATACATGATGCAAATGATTGTAAAACTCTCCATATTTTTTTTTAAAAGCAACATTTTTAGCCTCTCTTTTTTATGTGCTTACTGGCTAATGCTAATTAACTTGTATGCGCGTGGTGCCTTGAGTAAAGATGTAAATGTTGGTCCATGGATGTCTCCATATGGTTTGACTCTGCTACACAAGTGCTGGATTAATGTATGTACATTTTGTGTCAGTCACACTTCAATGACTGCTTTATCTTGAATTCCCACATTTGAGGCTGTAAACATCTGTGTCATGAATCTTTGTACTGTAAATAATTTGCACAGCTTGTAAGATGTATTTCTTGACGTTCTGATATGTATCACGATGTACGGCGAGTGGTGCCCATTTTAGTAACTGTAAGCTGATTCCTGGCAGGTCTTGTCATGAACTGACACTGAGAATCCATATCAAAGTAAATTAACATCTGGTATGCAGGTGTTGCAGAAAAATACTGCATACTAACATTTATATAGTTGATAGTTTCAGTCCGTTACCATAATATTTTCAAATCGTGATAGATTGGTAATGCAGTTTGAAAAATGAAAAACACGTGATCAAGGTTCAGCTCTGAAAAATTGGTTTCTTTCATTGTTCCTCCTGTGGATTTCCTCAGGGAGAAGAATCAATATATGTCAGAAAACATTACATTTGTGTTCTGCTGAAGAATGCTGCTGGACCAAAATATTGATCAATGGCTATCAATAATAATAGAAAAAAATGTTTCACTCACCTTGTCAGGATGTTGTGGGCGACAAAACATTTATTAGTACATCTGGCTTTTTCATATTTAGTGAAAATATGTGTCCTTTATTGTTTTGATGTATCTTACAGAGGCGGACTGAGCTGGGGGGCATGTGCCTCCCTAGTCTAGTGGCTCTGCACCTTAAAGTCAGCTGACAGAACTACAAATGCAGGAACCTGCAGGCTGTTCATGGACTTATTGATATCTTAGTTGTTTAATCTTTGTGTTTACATAGTTTTCAAGCTAATGTCACTTAGAAGAGTTTGCCTCTATTCCAGGTAGACATTGTTCCTCCAACAGATCTCTGGCTATTTTTCTCCACTGTCCACCAACACTGGGGCATTTTTCTTTCTCTTGACCATCAATGTTGGGTCATTCTTTTCTCCTACTGACCTTCAATGCTGGGTTATTTTTCATCCTCCTTACCATTAATGTTAGGATATTTTTCCTCCCGCTGACCACCAGTGCTGGATTATTCTTTCTGGCACAGATAAACAGGCAGTGTAATACCTGGGAGCTGCTAAACCCGCATTGGGTACCACCACTTGGTGCTGCGGTGTTATCATTGGTGATTTATAAAGATTGGCAGGGGTGTTCCAGTACTGGAACATTCTCTGTTTCCCAGCACCTAGCACTGAATGAAGCGGTAACTGTCAGGCAGAGTGATCTCTGCTGGACAGTAGAACTCTAGTCCTGGAAAGATTGGATAGAAAGAGTTTAGTGCAAGAGCATGATCAAGTAAGTTTAACTGTTTTCATGCAGCACCCTATAAAAATTGCAGAAATTAGTAAATCTATTTACAAAGTCAGTTACATTGTTGCCCTGGCTTAAAGGAGAACTATGGGGTCAGTGTTTTTCCCCATAGTTCTCCTTAGGGTAACGGGAGGACACAAACTAGCGTGACGGTATCCGCCCAGCTGCGTGAGTGACAGCTGGCTCTGCCTATCTAGAGGCAGAGCCAGCTGTACCCGCCCCCTCCCCCGTCCGTTCCGCCAGTCAGCGCTGGCAGATCGGAGCGGGGAATCCAGCCCCTCCCCCTGTCACGGCAGAGAGCCGTGACAGGATCGAGAGGCGAGCGAACCCGGTATGTGTTCGCTCACCTCCCGATCTACTGAGCCGACCTGTGACAGTCTCATTGTCACAGGTCGGCTAGAACTATGAGGTGAGTGAAAAGCACTCACCTCATAGTTCTCCTTTAAATGACCAGTTTAGCCAGAAATGTCTATAAACAGGAGCTACTTTTTAAATATGCATTTCATCAACAATAATAAATGTAGAAGATTCTATTAAATCAGTTCTTGTTATACATAGGCCTCATGCACGTGGCTGGACATGGCTATACAGTGTACAGATCCAGTATATTTCCCTGCCCCGGAGTCACGGGTGTGCCACACAGCTGCAGACAGCCAGCCTCTACAGAGCAAGGATAGGCTTGTCATTGATCGCAGATCTCTTGGTTGACATGTGTTCCAGAACTTAACCACTGCCCCAAACACAGAGAGACTCATGTATCATGTGTTTTCCACAGTTTCAGCATGCTAATGTTAGTGTTTTAGGGTAACCACTGGCACAATGCAGCATGGCACTTCTATAACCTTTTAATAAAATATGTTGGATTAAAGGGATAGGTTTGCTTTAATACAGTATGGAATAAAGAATAACTACTGTGTAAAGCTAATCCTGTTTAAATTGTGATGTTAGAAAACTGAATTACATTTACTTTAATGTCACTTGGGAAATTGCAGCACAAATATGTATGAGAAACATTCATAGCTAATAACACAGAATGAAATCAGTAAACTGTAAAACACAGCATTTTGCAGACCAAGAGCAAACAATATAATGGTAAATTAAGTTCTTGAATTTTAAAAATGTCAGGGCCATTGTATATACCCTATACTAATGCTGATTACTTCTGTTTCTTGTTTTGTGTTGGGTTTAACTGTCAGCGTGCCATTTTATAATTTTTGTGTTTTTTTCCAATATCCTTAGAGCATAATGGTCATTAGTCTAAACTAGCTTGTGTGACAGTCCAAGAACTTGGCAAGGAATCTTGACTGTAGAAAAATGGTAATTATGGTGACGTGGTGCTATAGAGCGAGCTGAAAACTGCAGCATGATAGATACTATAAATTGGTAATTGTTTTTTTCAGTTTACATTGCTAATAATTTAGTTTTTAAAATTCTAAAGCTGTGCTGCAATACTGCTATATCAAAGCTGAAATTGGGCACGGATACTTTCATTTGAATATATTCCTGAAAATCCACTTTGTGTGCATCAAATGCCTTTACACACCCAGATATTAACATATAAAAATAGCAGTGACATCATCACTGTAGTATGCATAGCCCATACAGAGAGCAGATCTGAGAGAGGGACTCAGCAGACCGATCCACTACAGAGGAATTGGATACAAGACTGGATACAAGACCAGTCATCCTGCACAAGGACAGAAAGTAGCAGTCACTGGTCTTATTATAGGAATGACCTGAACAAAGGTTTACACTGGATTACTGCACAGATCTGGAAAAAATACACAATAGACACAAAGAGTACACGTGACTTTTGTATTCAGACAATGGTTATTCAGGAGTTTAGCTTTAAGAAACTGTATCGGGCAATATTTCAAAATCATCTGAAGGTTAAAGCCTCACTCTGGGCAGTGATAAAAAAACAAAAACAAATTAAGAATATAACACAGTGATAAAAAAACAAAAACAAGGATCTAACACAGAGCAATCGTTGACATTATCCATGGCCCCACCATCTACCTCCCGACTATCTTTGGTTATGAGGCTTGATCCCCCAAATTTTCTGGTCTTTGACTAGCCTGTTCACTGACCCGCTTCCAAAATCATCACATGAAATGCAGTAGTAATGGCTAAATGTCACCCTGATGACATTGCCACTGCTCCTACATTATACATGATGATGTAGGGGTGCCTGTCCAGATCCTAGCGCTAGTGAGAAGATGACTTTTTTTCTCTAGAATTGTCCTTCATTCTGCTTTAATATGCAAGCCAGACTCAAAGCAGGAGTGGCAGCAGTGAATAATGCAATGGGGAAGAGTGTCTGTGAAGGTTCTCATTCATCAAGGTCATGGTATATCTGTACAAAATAAGTCAAGGCAACTGGACTTGCTGTATTTTTCTTGAAGACATTTCACTGGTCATCCAACCAGCTTTCTCAATTCAGAATGAAGTGTACAAAGATTCTCTGGGAATAAATATGGTGAATGTTGCTCTTATCCACATAATCTGTTAGTCACAACCAGGTGTTGATTGCATAATTGGAGTTAGGTGTTAATAACCTGGCCAGAGAGAGGAGTTAAAACATAATTGTATGTGGCAGACAATAGATGTCTCACTCCCCCTCCACACACACACCTCTATTCAAGCATGGCTTCCCCATTTTATTCCCAGATAATTTTTGTACAAGTCATTCTGAATTAAGAAAGTTGGTTAGATCAGTGCTCCCCAACCTTTTTATCGCCGCGGACCGGTCAACGTTTGATAATTTTACCGCGGCCCGCTGAGGGGGGGACGTTGATTGTTTATATTTTAGATTGTTTTGATTTAATAATTTTAATTTAATTGTATTTAAACATGCCTTCAAAATAAAATACAGTTACACCAAAAAATGAATATAAAGTGATTTAACATTTTAACTCACTAGAACGAAGCTGCCACTCTGGAACGCATCACAATTGGTGTGAACAAGCCCTTAGACACTAAATTCCTTTTTTCCTACCCTGTATTTTTTATATATTGTACAAAGTGCAAAAAAATACAATAATTCAGAAATAAATTAAATGTTAAAGAAAAAATATATAATAAAAGAAGAGGGCTTCACTAACCTGAACTCACTGTACATGGGTTGGGGACCACTGGGTTAGATGACCAGTGAAACGTCTTCAAGAAAAATGCAGCAAGTCCAGTTGCCTTGACTTATTTTTTACAGATAATGGGGGAAGAGTGGAAGTAGAGCTGGTTTTTACAGCACGTAAAACTCAGCCAGATTTTAGACATGTTTTAGGAATGAAGACTC